ATCGGTGTGTAATTATAGTATATTATGCAACAAGTGCGGTAAACGGCATTTGACTCACGAGTTTATTTGACACGAGCGGAGCGAGTGTTTAATAAACGTAAATGTGTAAATGTGTAGAATAAAGCAAACAAGAGCAACCTGCCTTAAACTAAAAAAATCTTACGAATAAAAAGAGAAGGAACTAAAAAAACTGGTTTAAGTTCCTTGATAAAAAAGAAAACATACAATTATATTATCTCTATTTTATATTGGGTCCTGAGTAATTAAAAGGAACAGTTACGATGCCCATTAACTTTGAAAAATATGTCAATTTTAAAGCCTGTTGGAAGAAAATTTTAATTTTTAAAATTTAATTAACCTTCAACTAAAAGAATAACTATTATAAATCATAAGTTAAAATGCCATTACCTTTTGTGAGATTTAACAAAGAAATAGAAGACAAATTATATTTATTATCTGCAAGTAAGTTAAGTTTAATGTGGACTAAAAAAAATATTTGAATGTGCGTTTTATAGTGTTTGAAGTTATTATTTAATCTGAGTTGTTTTAGTTCGGTGTTTTAAACGCCACAGGAAAAAGCGAAAGGCTGAGGTAACAATAATTAGACGGAGATGAACCTACTACACGAGCTCAATGTTCAAGAGAAATAAAAAATCAAAACGTAGTTGACAATCGTACATCAAGGAGCAACAGAAATGTGATATATAAAAATTATGAGTAGCAAAAATATGCAACTTGGAATGGATGGATCGCCAATAGCAAACCAATATTGCTTATTGTATTTTTTTTTTTAAGTGAGCTTTCGCATTTCTCTCGACTCGCTAACACATTTACCGACCAAACTGGGGAAAATACTAATAAAAGGCATTTTTATGAATATATCAATGGTACAGTCGGTGAATTGAATAAAAATGACAAGTCGACGCTTTTAAAATTCACGTCGTGTTTCGCACAATGCACAGTTTATTTTGCATATTTCGTTCGACCTGCAAATGACAGGCGTAATGAATTTGTTTCAAAAAGTTTTTTTTTTCTATGCTATTGTGCCGATCGGATAATTTGTTTGAAGCGATAAAAATAAACTGTTCGTTATACCCGTTTATGTTATATGGAAATGTCTGTGAAATTGTTTTGCACTATGTGTCACTTTTTTATTTCAACTCTTCGGCGGGAGGTGGTTACTTTGAATTTTTGAATTACGGAAAAGTAATTACTTATTTTTTAAATTTCTTTGAAGAAAAATCTCTGAATTTAACTACATAAGTGCATTAATTATTTACTGTAATTATCATACCACAACCAAAATTGTCTAACCGACACATATACAGTCCAAATTATTTTCCAGTGACCAAAATCGATATCAATTACTGAGTGTTTCAGAATTATTGAATTACGTTTTAAGTTCGGTAGATTTTGCTGATGATGATGATTGATGACGGCGGGCGGAGGGTGTATTAATCATGGTTTATGGTTTTGACTGTATTTGGTTTTGCTGCATTTATTTTCCGTATTTTTCAATTTTACCAATAACAATATTACTATGCAGGAAAAATATAATATATAATATATTTTTTTAAGAAATAAGGTAACATAGTATTGAGAAAACTGTTATAATAAAGTGCAAAATTAGAAAGCAATTATTTAGTAAAAAAATAAAAAATATTAAAATACAAGAAAATAAACAAAATATTTACAGGCTTCTAAAACTAAAACCCAAACTAATATTTTCATTGCTTCAAATCGATGTAATATCGGTTCTTTAATCTTCATCAGACTAGCTAAATAAACAAAAAACGTTATTAGAATGTTAAAAAAATTACAGTGACGTTCTCTTTTATATTTCCAATGCTGTAGTGCATGCGTTACAGACAAATCTCTGTTCAGAATGTTGCTTGCAAACGGGTTTTCCACATTTTGAACACGTCATTGAAGATTTTCTCTCTTTTGATCGTGGACATAAAGAGCATCTCATTCGTTTTTGAGGAAGAAGTTGCAAATCAGTGGCGTCTGGTTGACTTGGTTCTGCTATTCCGTGTACTTTTCTTATTATGTTTTTTATTCCCTAAGGATCTTTCGTGAGATCCGTTCCTGTACATGTTCTTGTATCCAAAATGTCCACAAATGGTTTTGTAGAGTTACAAAATTTATGGTTTATTGGATCCCCTATTGACGTCATCACTATGGCGCATTGAATAGAGCAGTATTACACTCCTGTTTGGTTTTTTAACAAAGGAAACTAGTGTTCCCTTTCCAGTAAAACCAAATATTGCGTTGAACATATTTTGCAGGTTCACCCTTTTTGCATTTTCCCCTTAACGACACCAGCATTTCGTTATCGGTTGCAAATTCTGAACATGTGTAGTTGGTACTGCAATTTTTCATAAAAATTGTAAAAACTTCAGAAACTGCAGCTGCAGAGTCACCAGACGTAATTCGGTCTGCTCTGGTATCAGCATTGTCAAATCGAATCGCGTATAATAAAACAAAAAACGCTTTAGAGTCAAGGTAGCTCGCAAGATGTCTCTATCCGTTTCATCCGCGACCCAGACAGACTCTGCGTCTTCTCTCCCACATTTAAAAACACCGGCTAATCTATTCAAACCCATAAATGCCTTGAGTTCAGATATACTTAAATGATTAACGTACGTAACATTTTTACTGTGATATTTGGCACTCAATTCTATAATCTTTGCGTTAGTATACTCCAAAATGACTTCTACAATATCGTCTGTGAATAAGAGTTGCCAAACCTCAAGGGGACTAGTCGGGTTAGTTAGTCTTGTTGGTCCTTTCTGTGCGGGAGTTCGACGGTCACGCAGATGAGGAGTTTTTCTCATTGGATTCCTCACCAGGAACTATTCGAGTCATCTTGATTATTATCTCCATCTGACAATTATTGTTCGGATTTAGTGTCGTGGTCTGTGTGTTCGCTTTCTGAGTGTTCGAAATCTCCAGATACTGTTAACCTTTCTTTTAGATCACTATCATAAGAATGGTTTAAAGCTCTTTATCAGTTAAAAATGTGTGCATCATATTAGATCAGAAATACAAACGTAACCGGTACATTGGGGTCAGTGTTGACCCCAACTCGACGTATTACCACAACTGTGCACCCTATAGATTTGCTCGTTAGGCACCGACTAAGCGACGTCGATTGATGATGTTACCAAAGGGATTTTTTTATGTTTATTGCGCTTGCGGTCAGCCTTGATCGCAGTATACCAGTTAAGGGTTAAAAAAAAGCATGAATGATCTAAAAGTGACACTTGAAATTGTTTCATACCGAAATTAATTGTAAGAAAACGAGGCAATATATGAAATGTGCAAAAATTAAACAAAGAATTTGTTTTTCAAATGGTCTCATTGTATCAATCTTAACACTTAGATAAATCAGCAGATTAGATTTCTTTAGTAACAGTAGCGCAGTGCAAAGTATGGAAAAATTGCCTTTCTCTTGTGTCTATAATTTTTTTCTTGTAAGGAATACCATTATGCTTCGATATATCGATGTAGTGATACAAAAAAATCGTACTCTGGAACACATGTCCGAAGACCTCATAGCGAAACTTTTACTTCATGTCATAATTCTCATAATTTCAACAAATTGCGAAAACGTTCAATATACAAATATTCACAAAAAACAAGATCTCTTACAATATCTGAAGAACCGCGAAGATGCAAATTCGCGATATAAGATCCAGTGATGTCCTACAAATATCTCGGCACAAACATAATAAGTGATAAAAACCTAAAGAATGAAGTAAAATCATAAATAACAAAGGCAGCATTAATATCAAAATACCTCGGAGACTTAATTGGGCGAAATAAATATATGGGTACGAGAAGTAAAAGTTAGAAAATATAAAACTTCTGAAAGACCGGTCATGACATACGCAATAGAAACTAGAGCTGAGAACACAACCACTAAGCGGCACTTAAGAACGACGGAAATGGGAACCCTGAGAATCATACAAACATACTTCATTCGATGGGAAGAGAAATGTTGGTCATAGTAAGATGGGCAAGGAGTCACAGAAGAGAATGGAGCGGCCATGTCGATAAGCAAAAATTGTAAATCGAAAGAAACCAGACACAATCCGATCTCTTGGACGACCTATAAGATAATACGAAAGCTGGTTCTCAGCTTCCCAAATACTCCTGACAAATCCTTGATGAAAACACAGGAACCAGTTCAAATGTAAGAGGAAGAAGAGGAAAAATCAATATTCCGCATTTATTGTTGTTGTTTTCAGACTCCTAAGGTTAATGAAGAAACACATTTGGCACCCTACATCTAACAGACGATTTTTTTGATAATTTAAAGATAATATTATTCCAGTGAAAGAAGAAAATATTACATAATAAATTCGACGTAGATCTATCTTGACTTTATTGGCTGTTGGAAATAGTTGCATACTACTTCACAATCATTTTGCCACGACATTTCTATTCTCATTGGAGCCAGATATTCAACTTTGCGACGCGCGTCTCGTTCATTCTTCATTCTTATTAAGACTTCGTTGTTCGTAATTCATGATTTGGTCAGCGTCCAGGACTCATAGAGTAGAACTATGTACAAATTTTACCTGAGCAAGCGATCTTTGTTTGGTATTATCACGTTCTAGCTTTTGACTTATAGCTTTCTCAAGCCCCTGGTTTACACTTGATGGTTAATGTACTATGATATACTAGGCTGCCCATGAACCCTATCATCTTAAAATGATAATGTAATTAGAGTTTTAATTTGTATTAACTTGCAGTCAAATTTATTTGCAACCACTTCTGTTTCTTTGTTTGTTATGGTCATTAGTGTTCATAGAAAAAAAAAGAATAACAAGAATTTTACTACGACGTATTTTCGGTATCAATACAGACTAAAAAGCGGGACGTTAATGTAGCAATCGTGCAATTTCCTCAGTAAATAAAGGAAGAATCCCGAATTTATCGCGTCTTCGCCGACATCAAACCGCCATCAAATCTGAATAATTCACGTATTTCAGGAACTGTTTGGTCGGCAAAAGGTACGAAATCAAAATATCCGATCTCGGATCGTATCGACAAATGTACGAGGCGGATTACTGCCAGATAGTCGGATCCAGACCGATTCCGGTCAGATGGATGGCTTGGGAAACTGCGCTTTTAGTAAGTATCAAGACTCGATGATTCCTACCGTTTTTTTGTCTGGCCCCGGCATATTGCCGACCCTAATTCCTTTTCGTTTTTCATGTGTTTATAACCGATTGATATCGGCTCGGCTAGTTTTTTACCCCGATTTTTCGAATCGTTAATCCGACCAACATTTTATCTTTTCTTTTTTTTTTTAAATTTCTGGGAGTGGCACAAAAATCAACTTTTAACCCCAATGAACGACTTAAAGCTTTTCAGTGAGACTGCACAAAAAGAATTTTTTTCAGAAGAGTGTAAGGGTTCTGAGGGTTTATTTTGATCTTCACTAAACTTACACGAAAGAAACAAATCAGTTTATAAAAAAAAAGTTCCTCCTATTGCTAAGAAATTGGTTTCTATAGATCTTTTGTATGTAATTCATCACGCTCTGTCCGAATATTTCCATTGCGAAAGAATAAAGGTTTTTGAACCTTGGTATTTTTCTTATCGTCAGCTATGGACATGAGATTATAAAGTCTCTCCAGCATTATTCATTTTTAACTGTCTAATGTTAAAACTAATCGCAAAAAGAAAATAGCCACCTTCAAAGTCTAACCTACAAAAATAATTAAAACCTAATTTTGATAAGAAAATTGGTGGTATATTATGTTCTCCAGAGAGTTTGGTGCCACTATATATATATATATATATATATATATATATATATATATATATATATATATATATATATATATATATATATATATATATATATAAAATATAATGATATAATAAATTTTGTTTTATCCTTTATAGTCAAGTTAAGATGCAAATAAATAGTTCTTGAATTTTTTGAATATAGAGGGGCTGACGTTTGAAAATTTTATTAAAATTTAAGACATATGTCACAAACTCTCTTCACTCTCAAACGGTCTTCGGTCTACTACTTTTTACATCTAGAGTTTTGGAATTGAGCTTAAAACAACTGGGACATTATTCTGTAAACTTCGAAGAAAGAGTACCTGAGAATGCGCTAATAAAGCTCAGTCATATGAATAACAAACACGCACTTTATACGCTAAGTTTTGAACCGACTGAGTGAGTAGAATCAAAATACACCAACGCCTTCAATCCCTTGATAAATGAGTAAATTATTGGAATATTTTGGTGCACAGGGGTTCAGGGGGAATATCGGCAATCTTCAGGCAATTTGGATGGAGCTAGAAAAAGCACGGGAAAATGCTAAATGATTTGTTTAAAGAAAAATCGTTCTATATTTTTTAAGAGGATATGGCAAGGTAGGATCGAAATATATGTTTTAAACGCCAATTATTTCTAGTAAAATGGGTAATGGGAGATTTTTTATTTGTGAGTCAGGATTACGCTCTACTAAAAATAACCTATAAAAACGCCATTCTGATAGGAATTACTTGAGTTTGTTTATCTTTGCATCATAAGTAATGTGATACATTGCAACATCCTATCTTTCAAGTTAGATATAAAAATTGTTGAGTGGTTGATTTTGAACCATCAGTTGACAGTCAATTTAAACAAATTTGTTAATGGATTAATTAAAAAATTCTGGTAGATAAGAACACTGATAAAAGTAGGTTTTAACTATTGCTGATATATTCCAATAGTAGATATAATGTTTCTTACAAAGTACCAGTTGTTGGTTGTTTTCTCCACTTAATTTATTGTGTCAGTAAATGAAACTGGTGTTTAGATATTTTATCACTTCTGTTAAAAAGACGTATACTTCAAATTTGTACTTATTTTTATTATCTAATGTAGGTGGATTTTTCGCATATTTCATTCATATATTTTTATTACCAGCTCCCAAAAGTAATTTTAAAGTAAGAGAGTTTGGTGCCCTCCTGATCATAGTATATATAATGATATAATAACTTTTGTTTTATCCTTTACAATATTTTCTTTTGGTTTTGAAAATTATGGACAAGTTTAAATGCAAATAAATTGTTCTTCAATTTTTTGATTATAGAGGGGCTGACTTTTGAAAATTTTATTAAAACTAAATTTAAGAAATATGTTTCAGTCTCAAACTGTCTTCACACTTCCCACTTCTACACTTTCTAACTCTAGAGTTTTGGAATTGAGCTTAAAACAATTGGAACATTGTTCTGTAAACTTCGAAGAAATAGTAGCTGAGAATGCGTTAATAAAGCACGGTCAACTGAAGTGTGGTGTCTGCGGAACTTAATTTTTTCTCCATTTAATAGAACACACATACACTTTACGTGCTAAGTTTTGAACCGTCTGAGAGAATAGCATCAAAATACATACATAGAATTGTTAAAGGAATATTTTCTAAGAGGATATGGCAAGGATCAAAATATATGTTTTAAAGGCCAATTATTTCTAAGAAAATGGTTAATGGGGGATTTTTCATTTGTGAGTCAGGATTACACTCTGCTAAAAATAACCTATAAAAACGCCATTCTGATAGGAATTACTTCCGTTTTTTTATATATGCATCATAAGTAATGTGATACATTGCAAAAATTTTTGAGTTAATTAATGGAATTAATTTAAAAATAAGAACACTGATTAAAGTGGGTTCCAACTATTGCTGATATATTGGAATACTAGCAAAAATGTTTCTTAAAAAGAACCAGTTGTTGGTTGTTTTCTCCACTTAATTTATTGTGTAATTATATGACACTGGTGGTTTCATTACCAGATCCCAAAAGCAATGTACAATTAAAAATAAAAATTTCACAAAATCGAGCAAACCTTTTTTTTATCTAGTTTTAGTTTATTATGTTAATTTTGATTAGCATAAATTATCCTGTGACGTCACAATCTCATTGAAAAGAAGCTGGAAAATTTGGGAAACTATTGGCAATGTCGGGATATTTCGAGGGTCTGGGGAATTTTTCCAAAAAGGGAGGTTGAATTTTTTCCCATGACTTACATCTCACGACTTGTGTACTTTCGCTAGGGAAAATATTCCAGCAAAAGTGACGCATGGTCGTTCGGCGTTTTACTCTGGGAGATACTGACCTTCGCGAGGGAACAACCGTTCGAGGACTTTAGCGACGAAAAAGTGATCGAGAACCTGAGCAATTTCTATCAGAACAACGGCAAACACGTAAGTCTACGCTACCGCAGTTTTCCTAACGCTTTGCGATTTATTCATTAAGTTTCCCCTCTATCCCGGCCCAATCTTCTTAATGTTTATCCGCTTATACGTAAAAACGTTATAAAGTAATAAACAAGTTTGTTTGCTCTTTTCACGTCATCTCTAAAGCTTATTATGTTCTCTTCGGTGTCCCGACTTATTAATTTTCATCTTCTTCTAGCCCAGTGAATATAATCTCCGAAGCTTCACGGTGTTACCTTATTGTCGTTATTGTTACTAACCGCTGGCGTATGGCTATCGGATTGAGTTGAGTCGATTTAAAATCGACTTTGCAATAAAGATTGGTGTTTTTAGGAAAATGAGCTTTGATGATTATGTAACTGGAAGTACGCGAAAGTCAATGAGCTGCAATTGCAGCTGAGAGGTTATAGCATTCTTGGGTATAATAAGTGAAGTGTAAGTACGCTCCGGAGAAAATAGGTTACTGTAAGTTTAAAACATTGCAATTTTGTTAATACGGGGTGTTCCAAATGTGTCCCCTGACCTCAACTTTATTATTTTAAATGGAACGCACTGTATATTTCGACATTTTTGGAATCCTTGGTTAAAATAAAAATTCCTATTCAAATTTTGCACAGTTTAGGAAGAAACTGAAGTTATGTGTTTTTTTTTTTTCATATTTTGATTGCCCCATATAGAATTGTGTTATGACGCTACTTATCCAGGTATTGCAACGAAAATTTAACCTCATTTCTAAAATTCTTAAAAACTTATTCTCTGTTGAATAGTAGTGGTTAAAAATCGCCTCGTTGGTCCATAATGTTTTGTTAAAAATGTCCCTCTCAAAATGCTCGTCCATCATAACCATGCAGAAGCTTCGTCTGCCATCAAAATCATGGTGAAACAAAAATTGAATTGGTAGAAATTTATAACTCTTTATTTGGTTGGAATTTAAAATACGTCATACACCTGAAATAGTTAAGTCAAGGTCCCTGCTTACATCTCGCAAAGTATTTTCGGAAAATTAATTGAAGTATAATATTACGTTCAGTTCAGTTTCTTCTTATAAAAAGGTGCTCGGTTTCTCCCTTTTTCTATCTTTTAGAACACTGTGATTTAACAGGTACTGAATAATTCTCTTAAATATTTTTTTGTTGATATTTTAGCTCCCGGAAACTTTATTAATGTTAAGGCTGCACTATTAAAGTTTAACTTATTTAAAATGCAAATAAAATATATACTAACAAAAAACTTGACAACTATGAACTTTTTAAAGAGAAATATGAAATACAACAAAAAAACCCGGAAACGTCAATGTTTGTTTATACCTAATGCGTAAAGAAAAGATTGTGATGTCATAGCCAACTATATTTTTAAATATTTTGATATTTCTTTGTTGTTTTGATGCCAGCTGATGCCAGATTTTAAGAGGAACATTTTTAACTAAACTTTATGGAACGAATTAACGAATTCTTTTTACTTAACTTTATGTTTTATAGACTTATTTATTTAAATTTGTTACCTTGTTTAGCTGGCCTATAAACTCTAATTATTTATTTTTGTTATCAGGTATTTTCAATGAAGCTAGATAATTAACTGTTAAATATTTCTTTAAATATGAATTCAGAAGTTTTACTAATCTGTTAACGTGTGTAGTTTAGACTAGGTTTTTTTCAAGATTTCCGCGTATTAATGGAAACCCTATATTGTTAGCAATAGGTTTTATTCGTATGTCTGGAGCATTATATCTTCTAAAGAGGTAGTATCATATCTTTGATATGTGGGCACCTTTAAATTCAACAAGATTTTATACGGGTGTTAAACCTCGAATATCTCAAAAAGTAAATAGAATTTAAATATAAGATAAATTACAAACTCGCCTTATTTTTTTCCTAGAATTGATATCTAAATAAGAATATAGTGTGTTTCATTCGAACATCTTGAGAGTTTGTTAATTGAGTTCGCCAAAACGACACCACCTATTTGGGACACCCTGTATAAGCTGTAGCGCATCTGTCAAACTTTACTTTCAAAACCTTAGTCTGTGGTTAAATTTTTGTTGCAATACTTGCATCACAATTTTATATGGGGCAATCAAAATATGAAAAAAAAACACACAACTTCAATTTCTGCCCAAACTATGTAAAATTAGAATAGGATTTTCTCAAGAAAGTGACCTTTATTTTAACCACGGATTCCAAAAATGTCGACATATATAGGGTGTTCTATTTGAAATAACAAAGTTGATTTTTGGGCTAACACTTTTGGGACACGCTGTTTCAACAAAATTACAATATTTTAAAACTTCAGGAGAGACCTATGGGTATTCCAGATCGTATAGTGGGTCGTTTTATTTGGCACACGGTGTACCTACAATAGGCATGTTAAACAAACGTAAATGACATGTTCTAAATTTGATATTGCAGTCCTTTAAGCAAAAATATTGTTCCACATTAACACCAAAGAAAAAAGAAAACTTCCGATCTGGCCAAGTCTCGATTTATCAAAATTTGAGGTAGTGAATCCACAAATACTAATAATCGTCACTTTAAATTGACCAACATTCAAAGGGCCAAAGAGTGACAAATGAACACGCAACAGCTCTCCTCTAATTTCTGTGACACCTGAAGTTTTGGGAGTTTCTGTGGAGTTTTAATTTTTGACTTTAGTTGCTCATCGCTCTCACTTGCTATTACTTTCAATTCATGAACGAGAAACCCTAATAATCTTCGCTTTTCTAAGCGATATAACATGGCCTCCATTAGTTTGCTTAATTGCTATCGGTACTAGGAAATTTTTTCCCTATTCAAGATAGCACAAATTTAATTAAAGTATATTTCAATTCGAAAGTGGTTTATTAAAAGCAACGAGATATGAGTTAGTTTGTCACAGCTCGTATTATTTTCCTAGGTCTCACGATCCATCCAATCTTGTTCATCTCTCTCTATCCTTGTGAACTTATTTTATACATTTCCCTGGAGGTCTTCCCACTGATCTTGTATAGTAGCAATTTAGAATCTTTTTTGACCAACGTTTATGCTCCATCTCTTAGTTTCTTCTGGTATCCTTTGTTTGTACATTCATTGTTCGCTTTATTGCTTTGTTTTGATACAACACAACTTCGTCTAAGAAAATCCATCTCTTTCACTTCCAGTCCTTGTCACATTTTGTTCGTTGCCATATGCATATACATGGTGGGCAATATAACTTAATCATATACCTTATCTCAGAATATACAGGGTGTACGGACAAATTTTAAATACAAAACATAACCGGTTTGAAACGCAATTTTATTTTATTATATTTTTGCTTATACAGGATGCTCATTTGTTACTGTTAAGTTTCTAGGAAAATTTATAATGTTCTATGCTTATATCTAAGGGTTTTTGACATATTTAAGTTTTTATCTCAAATATGTCATTTGCAGGCCCTAAGAAAAATATCAATTTTTCCTAAACGGAAATTGTTTTGTCCGCGCGGAAACGGTCTTTGGTCGCAATTGGCACAGCAAGATGTCTCGAAAGTGAAAGGATCAAAATTACTCTACTTAACTGACCGTATCGCTATTTGTGGCCTTCCTTTCCAGAAGGGCCTGATGCGTTCAACGGCACTTTTTGAACGACACGGTCAGCGCGACCGATTTAGCTAAACTGAAATCTTTGTTTTTTAATTTGGGTTTAATACCTACTTTAATAGAATTTCTACAATATTTTGATAACTGATAATACAGGGTGTTCAAAAAGTAAGATTTAATACTAAATTAAAAAAGAAGAAAATAAATAAAAAAAATAAAGGTAAGCTTCTATAATCTATGGGTAAACCTTAAAAGTAAAGTTTCATAATCGGACTGAAAATAGGGAGAATTTAAAAGGAAAAATAAGGCAGGAAATAATTGATCAGCGGATCTAACATGGTAAATGCTATAAATAAATTGGAAACTATATATACGACGTGTTTGGCGGTTCATGGAACATATGTTGAAAATTTATTATAATACCCATTGTTCGAATGCAAATCCAAATTAGTTGTTCTTTAATTGTTATTATATTTAGTTGTTAATAAAAAAAATTGACGAAATTTGATATGTTATATATAGTTTTTTTAACGTAAAATATTGTGTATTTTATAAAATTTAGGTCAAAACATTATTGATAATTTTGAAATAGTAACTACCAGCCTCATACATTTCTTTGGAATACGATTGATTTTAGAGAACAAATATAACAAAGCTTGAAACCCGCAGCAAAATCGCCAAATAAGAATATTAATTTGTCAATCTTTCGAAAAATTTAGCTTTTAATCTTAGTTTTTGAACACCCTGTATTAAATCCAAATTATAAAGTAATGATTTCCTTTTAGGAAAAATTGCTATTTTTCTTAGGGCCTGCAAATGACATACTTGAGATAAAAACTTTAATATGTCAAAAACCATTAGACATAGGCATAGAACATTATATATGAAATTTTCCTAGAAACTTGAATAGAATTCAAAAATGTAATAATATACAGAATCTTCCATTTAAAAAAATGAGGTTGTATTTACCCAGGTAACACTGAGTGCCCTGTATACGCAAAAATATAATAAAATAAAACTTCGTTTCAAACCAAATGACTTTTGTATTTAAGATTTTTTCGTGTCCTGTATATTGTGAGATAAGACATAGGGATACGTTATATTGGCCACCCTGTACCTAAAGTATTTTGTGATAAAGGAGGTCAATTTAGTGATGTGATGTGATTAGTGCGGTACTTGAGTCTTCCTTCTATATTTTTACACCTAAATGAGTACGATCTTGATAAGCTTAGGCTACTTATCCATCAACATTTAAACTCTACGTATATTTGGTTTTGCGAAAATTTGTTTTTCATAATGGCCCTGTTATATATATACATATATATATATATATATATATATATATATATATATATATATATATATATATATATATATATATATATATATATATATATATATATATATATATATATATATATATAACGTCTGCAGGATTCCAGTCGGATGCAGGATTACTGTCGGATGCAGGATTCCAGTCGGAGTTCAACAAGCGAACGGATGATATCCCGGAATATAGTGTCATCACATTTTTCCATCCGTGAATCAATACGTGAAAATTATATATATATATATATATATATATATATATATATATATATATATATATATATATATATATGATGACACTATATTCCGGGATATCATCCGTTCGCTCGTTGAACTCCGACTGGAATCCTGCATCCGACTGGAATCCTGCAAATCCTGCATCCGACTGGAATCCTGCAGACGTTTCGCCAAAATCTCACTTGGCATCTTCAATGCTCGCGCTCCGAAAACACTTCGGAGCGCGAGCATTGAAGATGCCAAGTGAGATTTTGGCGAAACGTCTGCAGGATTCCAGTCGGATGCAGGATTTGCAGGATTCCAGTCGGATGCAGGATTCCAGTCGGAGTTCAACGAGCGAACGGATGATATCCCGGAATATAGTGTCATCACATTTTTCCATCCGTGAATCAATACGTGAGAATATATATATATATATATATATATATATATATATATATATATATATATATATATATATATATATATATATATATATATATATATATATATATTCTCACGTATTGATTCACGGATGGAAAAATGTGATGACACTATACTCCGGGATATCATCCGTCCGCTCGTTGAACTCCGACTGGAATCCTGCATCCGACTGGAATCCTGCAAATCCTGCATCCGACTGGAATCCTGCAGACGTTTCGCCAAAATCTCACTTGGCATCTTCAATGCTCGCGCTCAGAGTGTTCGAAGTGTTTTCTGAGCGCGAGCATTGAAGATGCCAAGTGAGATTTTGGCGAAACGTCTGCAGGATTCCAGTCGGATGCAGGATTTGCAGGATTCCAGTCGGATGCACGATTCCAGTCGGAGTTCAACGAGCGAACGGATGATATCCCGGAGTATAGTGTCATCATATATATATATATATATATATATATATATATATATATATATATATATATATATATATATATATATATATATATATATATATATATATATATATATATATATATATATATATATATATATATATATATATATATATATATATATATATATATATATATATATATATATATATATATATATATATATATATATATATATATATATATATATATATATATATATATATATATATATATATATACATATATATATATATATATATATATATATATATATATATATATATATATATATATATATATATATATATATATATATATATATATATATATATATATATATATATATATATATATATATATATATATATATATATATATATATATATATATATATATATATATATATATATATATATATATATATATATATATATATATATATATATATATATATATATATATATATATATATATATATATATATATATATATATATATTCAGAATGAGGATTGGGCCATCAGAACATATTGTACATAAATTTTCTTCTAAAAGATCCAATTGTTTTACTCCTGTTATTAATAAGTCTAGGCCCTGTTTAATCCGGAGCGTCCATGCACCTCTTTTTTGGTTGACGACGACTTCTCTTTTGTATCTCTGATATATCGATTATTAATTCTATCCATCCTTGTTTTACCCACGAGTACTCCCAATGTTTTTATTTTGCTTTCAGCTCTTATTTCGACCGCGTATAGCAGTATTGGCCACGCTAAGCTCTTTATTACTCCTTAATATTAATATTGGAAAATCATGTTTTTTGTTCCAGGTCCTTTTGAGCTCGCCGTTCAACTGTCCGAAAGAGATTTTCGACTTGATGTGCGAATGCTGGCAGAGAAACGAGTCGGATAGGCCAACGTTTCGCGAGATTCATCTATTTCTGCAGAGGAAAAATCTGGGCTACAAACCGGACGTTCACTGACACCAGATCGATAGAGATCGAGACGTTGACAATAACCTTGAAGAGCTGCGCGATATACTGCAGCTATTCGCCTATTAAAGTATTAGATCCGACAATTCGTGAATACACTTGCCGTAGGACGTTAATGATGGCGGAAGTGTGGGTGTGGATATTGAATGACCGCGAAATCCGGTGGGATTTTAATCTGGTTCGTTCCTGTTGTACACCAGAAACGTGCTCGTTCATTATTTTGTTGAGTCTTCGGCATAATTAAAATGATATTTTCCCGGTGGTGTGAGAGAGCAAGGTAGATAGAGAGACACGATTTCACGGAAATGGATAAAGCATCGATTTAGAAGTTTTGGGTGCGTTTTAACATTACTCGAGGCCGTTTGGGGCTATTTCTAACCAAATCTACCGCTGTTTTAATTTTTTTCGAGTGAAGGTGTGAAATAAATAACACAAGCAAAAAGTGCAAAATAACATATTCATAAAAAAAATTATACATTGTTTCAACGATTAAACTGAATTACATAAAAAATGATTGAGCAATGAGTAAGTAATAAAAATCAAAAACAAACAATACTGACAGTGATTCTCGGTGAAGGTATAGAGCGCAAGGCAATGAACATGTGAAATTCATTTTTTTTTTGGTCACCCTAATATCGACGAATGTGGTTTTTTTCTTTGTTTTTATCGAGCGGTCCTAATGAAGGTAGGTACACCGTGCACCAAATAAACCGACCCACTATACGTTCTATAAACCCACAGGACATACGAAAAAAAGTTTCGTACAAAATTTTCTTGGACTCCCCTAAAGATTTAAAATATCATAATTTTGTTGATACAGAGTGTCCCAAAAGTGTCCGACATCAACTTTGTTATTTTAAATCGAACACGCTATGCAACGAAAATTTTACCACAGACTGAGTTCATCAGTAAGGAAAATTTAAATATAAGATAAATTACAAACTTACCTTATTTTGAATCCTAGAATCGAATTATATTATACAATAAAAATATAGGGTGTTATATTTGAAAATCTTGAGATTTTGTTAATTGAATTCGCAACAACGGCACCACCAATTTCCTGTATAAGCTAAGGCGCATCTGTCAAACTGATTGAGTAGTGCATCATCTCTTTAGTAGGTGGTAAAATTTTCGTTGCATTACCTGAATTTCTACCTAAGCAAAGTTGGAATAGGAATTTCTTTAGAAAGTCTTTTTTTTATTTTAACCACGGATTCCAAAAATGACGATATATACAGGGTGTTCGAATTAAAATAACAAAGTTGATGTTGGAGGGGACAATTTGGTACACCCTGTATCTAAATCTTCAGAAAAGTCCGAGCAACTTTTGTACGAAACTTTTTTTCCTATGTCATATGGGTTTCCAGATCGTATAGTACGTCGTTTTATTTGGCACACGGCGTACATAGGAATATCAGAAAGCCGCAATGCACACTGTTTGGATTCAGTTACGCAGTTCGCTGCTGACTACGGTGCGAATAAACACCTTCTCGATGAAGAACTGCCCGACCTGAATCAGGTCATGATCTGAAAAAAGAAACGTGGTTACTAACAAAGAATTTTAGAAAGGACATGAGATGGTACTCTGTAATAAGGTCGGATGTTGTCTGGTAACCTGTTTTGCAGTCGATTATAATTTTTTTTTAATGGATTTTTTTTTGGTACTGTTTTATTTTAAGAATTCGTTTTTGTTTTGTTGCCCACTATTGTTGTCATTGTAAGGCACTATCGTTGTTTGATTATTAACGACCTACTGCATAACTGAATCCAAACAAGGTCGACTGTGTTGTGAAGCTGCCTGGTACTGACAAAATAGAATTATTCCAGTGTACGACTGCAGTAACTTGGACCGTGTGGTACACATTTTGTTCATAGAAGCGGATAATCGGACATGTTCGTTGCCTTGTATTGTATCAAATAGATCACAATTCCATGTTTACATCAACATGTTATATTTTTGTGAGTCCATTTTCAATGGTTTTTAATATTTATTGACTTACGTTATAGTTTGGTATTCTGCAGGTCAATAGTTGTGATAGTTAATTTCACATACATTTATAATTACTGCTCTGGCAGCTTAAAGTCCATTATTCTCGCTAATAACCAAGAGAGACTATTAAATTCTTGCTTTTCAAAATTGCATGCATAGAAGAACTCAGAACTCATAAAGTGGTCCTATAAATGCCCGGTGCCTTTTTCAACCTGGTGTCTTTTTGAAAATCGGGAGACTCAAACGTCATACTGGAATTTGTTTAATTCAATTCGTACGATACCATTTTGGATAGGGTTAATGGGAGTTTTGCGTTCCTGTACATAACTTCCTATAGTTGTTTCATAGTGGCCTAAAAACTGGAATCTAGTTTCTAAGGTGTAGGATATTTTCGTCGCTTCGTTACATCAAACAAGTAACTAAAATCAAACAGAAACCGTTTTTTCTATGTTGTAAATAAACCATACTGACTGATCGTTAATGCAAAGAAAAATTCGAATTTGTACAATAATTGATAATATTGATGAGCTCATTATACGATTACGTGTAGATATTTAGATAATTATTACTGTACATAATTAATACGGATTGGATTTAAATAGACGTTTAAAGTGGCCGTTAAATTTGTACATTTGCAGAAATATCTTGTTGACACACTGGTAAACTGGACCAAAAATAAATAAAGAATTTATTCCTGGCGTTTTTGTTCATCCCAAACTCCTGCGTTTGTACACTGAAAAAATAGGAGGACGTCCCTCTAAATGCCATCCACATTTACAGTTAGGTAAGTTATTATTCGATTTATATGCGGAGTCCTTTTTTTCTAGGAAAAATGAGAATTCAAACGTGACGACAAAAAAAAGCAGTTTGACACTAACAAAGTTATTTTCATTAAAAGATTATCATTCAAAACCTAACAGTAATTTAAATCCAGATAATGCAGCTTAGAAGCCAGAACCCCCTTAAATTGAATTGAATCGATTTTTTTTTCCTTGTTCGTTTAAATTTGACTGTACTGCTGGATAAATTTCAAAAAATATATTCGTTAATATTAAAATTAGAGTTTCGTCAATTTGAAGCGATTTCTTAAAAAAAAAAAGTCCTCTTTACTTATTTTATGTCAATATAGCAAACGAGGTAATGCGTAAATTAAAGGGAAATAAAAAAAATCTGGAAAAACCCCTGTGAATAGATTTTTATACAAGTGAATTTAAATCAAAGCCCCTTGACTCCACCACTGAATAATAAATACGTACAAAAGGTATCAGTTGTATGGATCTGAAAAGGCCTCATCCAACTTCTGGCGAGGGAGCTCCATCAACCACTTGACATCAGCTGACATCTGTCAAATATCAAAGATATGAACCGCCTTGATTGCTGATGGAAATCAGTCTCTGTATATTTTAAAAATTTAATGTGTGTGTTAAGTGGACTACTCTTTTCAAAACATTACTTGAAACTAACCTAAAATGCGCCCTTGTTGACTGTAATATTTTTTTTATCCAACACCACCTACTTTTGTAATGGAAAATGTTTGTAAAATATAAGGCAATAATTTTTCATTACGATCCAAAACATTTTCCGAAAATTAACAATTAACTGGTTGTTTAACACAACTTAACCGAAGCACCGCGTGCTTCAAAGATCCAACTTTTCGGTTTCCGTGGACGTTAAAATATTGACAATTCAATTAAAACCAAACGGGAACATTAGCTTGATCGGCGATCCCAATAAAAGTCTAATCAGTCGGACTGCTAAATAATTTCATTAAATTATCCGTTTTGCCCGCGATAAAGGTTGAGCATCTATTTTTAAAGTGCGCCGGTCAAATCGATACCGTACAAATGAAGCAGGGTTCACATTAAACTAGCGTTTATCGCGATTTAAAAATCCACGTCAGTCGGAGATGCATTTTTTAACCTCCGCGTCGATAGCTCGTCAATAATGCAATCCGGTGCTCGTTCAAGTCTGGTTATCGATAAAGCAATAAATAATTTATGGCGAGTCATGCCACGTTGTCCGGAATATAACAAATTAATGGACCCCAGTTTGTAATCCTATCGTAGGGCCGAGCCAAAAGTAACGTGGGTGTCACTTTCGGATCCCCAAGACTTTGTCGCCTAAACATGCACTCCCTTCCACCCCTAGATAAATATCTATAATGGAAAAATAATATCACCCGATCTTCGTTAACAAATTGTGTCATATTGGAAACTAATACGAAACGAATTATGGTAGGGGCTTATCGAGAGTTTGCAGATGCGAGTCCCCTACGCGACCAAAAAAGTTTCGTTACAAAAATACTCGGCAACGCTGCAGCAACTTCGTTAAAAAGTTATACCATTAGCAAATGAAGAATAGACTGAAAACAAGTTTTAATTAAAAGATCCTTTAAAGCAAAGGAATGTAATCAATAATACCAAACACAGCATTTCAAAAAGGTGTTGTTGATTCGAATTTGCTGACGTTTCGCCAATCATCCTGCAAATAGTATTACAGTAGCTTGTGGAACTTTCTTTGAAAAATTAGGTATTGGTACTAATAAAAGGGATTTACCGTCATTTTGAACACTTTCTTTCTTTCATAATACAAGCTATAACACCATATTGTACTTTTTGAAGGCTGCAGGTGACAAAAACTGCAATAATTTTTTATAGGCTGAGTTTTGGTTAGTTTTTCCTTATAAAATCGGAAAAGTTGTGTTGAAATTGATTTGAATAGCTAAGATGCATCGTTTTCAAGGTAAATGGGATCCAAAAATTGAGATTTAAAGTTTTGAAACATTAAACAATCAATTTATTTCGTAATTCCCTATTGACAATGAATAATCACTAATTTACATTACATTTTCAAACACATTTCCATTCGATCTTATTGAAATATTTTGAGATGCACGAAGAATTTTGGTTTCCGGCAACATTAATTTACGCGGGTAATTTAAGTCAGGAGACCGAGCCCGCCAATTTCACCTGGAAAAAAGTTTTTGTTACCTGTGGCCTTGACCAAAATTTGTGATTTATAATTTTAGAATCAGATTCAGCATGCCAAAAAGCACAAAAATTTAAAAAATTTCACCCAACTTGCTTCGGAAATATTAATAACCAACCATTTTCAGATCCATTCCCATCCGTTAGGTGGTTTTTCCCGACATAGGTGTATCTAGAAAACTAGGGCTTATTTCGGACTTCGAATCACCTTGTATATAAAGGTGGGCACCCCGTATATGTATTTATATTTACTTCAGTTCTTTTTCTTCGGCATTCCTTTTTTTCCGACATTGTTATAATTCATGTATTCTTAAGCCTGTTTTGGATCTTTCGTACATTTTGAATGTAAAATAAATCCTCAAAACAAGTGTGCTACATCTAGTGGCAGATAAGTGCGATAAGAGATTGTTCATAGTATTTCTCTACCAGTTTTTAGAGGTTTTTGACTGTAAATCTGTTCAAGGACGTCTTTTTTGTGAAATTATTTATCCTCCCTTGAAATAAGTGGTTGTGATATATTTTGAATAATTTCGACAGTGACAGGCTTGCAGGTAGAATATCTGTTAATAATTTCATTCAATAATCTTCAAAGAAACTTTCAGTTTCAGTTAAAGAAACGTCAGCACGAAGGAATATAGAAGATTTGTCAATAACAACCAAAATATTGTAAATAATAAATCAATATTTTGTTACTACGGTGTATTGTAAGTCTCGTACGAAATAATAATACTAAAAAAATATCAATTAGGCTGGACAAGCCAACAACTAATAACTGTATTTGATTATTGTAAAATTTACCGCCATTATTTCAGTAATATTTTTATTATTGTTGCTATTTTTTTGTTGAAATACTGATTCCAGTAGCGAATTAAATGAATTAAACAATTTTCTTCAATATTTATAATTGTTCGCAACAATCATCAGCATGGTTATGTAGCTAATAAATCAACAGAAACCGCTATATTTCAGTTTATAAAAACAATTTTAAAACACTTGGAGGGCGAAAGAATAGCTTTAGGTACGTGCTTAGATCTTTCTAGAGCATACGACTCTATAGACAGGGACTTATTGCTCAAAAAATTGGATTTATACGGTGTAAAAGGTAATGTTCTAAAATTGTTTGAATCATACTTAATAGGAAGGAAACAACAAGTTAGAATAATCCAAAATGGCACTAGTTATTTTTCGGATATTAAGGAAAATATTCTGGGCATAGCACAAGGTAGTATTTTTGGTCCAATTTTATTTATCATTTTTGTGAATGACTTGTATTTCGTAACACAGTCAGAAGAAGAGAGCATAATATGCTATGCAGATGATACCAACCTACTTGTAGGTGGAAATAATCTCACTGAGGTGACTGATAAAGACAACGATATTTTTACAAGGGCTTATAACTGGTTTCTAGGAAGCAAATTGATATTAAACAAAGAGAAAACGAATTTAATTATGTTTAGAACTAAATTATGTACAGTTGAAACACCATTAGGAATAGGTAAAGAAAATATTAGTATTGTAAATAGCACTAAATTCTTAGGTTTAGAAATTGACGAATTTCTTGATAGGTCTGAACATATTGATTATCTGCTAAATAAATTAAATTCAATTTGTTATGTAATTCGGGTCGTTGCAAATTATATGAATAAGGAAACTTTTAAAATTATGTAATTTGCAAACTTTCAGTCGCGCATGAGGTATGGAATTATCTTTTGGGGGGGCAGTGGTCAACTACAGAAAATTTTCGTGGTTCAAAAGAGGACTCTTCGCACTGTCAAAAAAATGCAATTTAGAGAGAGCTGTAGAGGGGTGTTCAAGACTGAAGGTATTTTTACTGTATATGCTTTATATATTTATGAAGCATTGATATTATTTTTTTAAAATCGAAAGGACTTCGAACTACAGATATGTCATAGATATTATACCAGAACCCTAAATGTAAGTTACCCTATTCACCGTTTAATCTTAATTGAAAGAAGTCCTTATTACATGTGGCTGAGATTGTATAATAAATTACCAAATGAGGTAAAAACAATTGCAAATCTAAAAATCTTTAAATACACAATAAAAAAGTTATTGATAGAGTTAGAACCTTACTCCATAGAAGATTTTTTCTGTGAAATTTAAATAATTGTAAATACGATGTAATTGAAATTTGTAACATCTGGTGCTTTTTCCTTTCTTGACGCCGATTTCCTTTGTGTGCGGTATATTATTTTTAGGTAATGTATTTATGACACAATGTGAAATAAAGTTGATTATTATAATTATTATTATTTTAACAAAATCCTAATCAAAACCATAATTTTCACCATAAAAAAATGAAGTTAACTCACAAGTTTAGTGCAATATCAAATCGCTTGACCGGGGTCATTCGGTGCACTTTTCTCTTAAAACTATTAATAAACGGTGTGGAGAAAGTGCCTTACTTTTTCAATCCAGACACCACTGTTTAGGTACCTTAAACCAGTGAATATCAATTTGGATTCGCATAATTTATTTCTATATTCTACTCGGGATAATCTTCAACTTATTGCTAAAAAATGCAGTGTAATGTTCTTTTCTCCTAAGCCTAACATTAATTTATTAATTATCGGTAAACGTTTGAAAATTGTGATTTGCAATAAAAACCTTGGTGTCATATTTGATTGTAAACTGAGATTCATGGAATATGTATCTT